TCAGCTATGTTGCTCGTATTCCCTGGCAGACGCGTGGTTGGATTGAGATGCTCTCGAATCGTAGTTATTTCATTATTAAGCTGCACTGGTGTCAACAGAAGCGGACTGATTTTACCATGATTGGTATCAGTTAAAACGCCTAAAATTGCAGACTCGTAAAACTGCACGTTGGTAGTTACACTCAGCAATTGTGTTGCGATTGCGGTGAACAGTTGATAAAGTTTAAGATGAGAAATCTCATCTTCATCCTTTTGTATTTTATTCTGTAAATCAGTCATCCGTTTGACTGTCAATTCGAAAGTTGATTGCGCGAGTTGGCGATCTTTCTTCATGATGTTTAATGTAGAATCTAATATTGACGTTTGATTTTTCAATAGATGAATGAGGTGATCGTCGTTGTCTTTTAAGTGTTGGATAGTCTGAGCCATTTGTTTAGCATATTCAGAATCCAGAACACCAAACACCGCATTTGCGACGTTACCAATGATGTCTATGGCACCTCTCTTCTTTCGTTTAGGTTGTAGTATCATACTAGCTGACAACATTTCTAAGTTTGTCATTTTGAATTGGTCAATTAAGACCCAGCAATTGTTATAACCATTCATTTGGTCACATATGGTTGCCAATGAGTTAGTTGCATTTGTGATAAATTCGACCTCTAACTGTAGAAAACTTATATCATAGTAGGCTATGATTGTCCATTCTGCTGGTGATCTCATGATTGAACCCATGTGTTCAAAATGGATCCCAGGCTTTTTATTGAACGATGTGATGCTGATCCCATTAGCAGATATCAGCGGTAGATAGAACATGATGAGTAACGCTAGTACATAGAGTTTTGCCCGTTTTAGTGGCGTTTCTTCAGGTTGAAGTTGGTGTGAAGTGGTAGACGAATGTAATTCTGCTGGTACCGGTGCCAATTGATGTATTGGCCGCTTCAAACTACCATTCTTAGTTTTACCATCTGCCACTCGAATTTTACCTTTAATTCTTGGATGGGTATTCACACTTCGATTTACTGGCGATTCCTTAATTTGACGAGTATTTCCAATAGATGTTGCTTCACGTTTTTTCTCGACATATGTAACTTGCCCATCATGATTCGCAACTTTATCTAATTTTTGCTCATTTTCGGTGGCCTTTATACAAGTGATTGTATCCTGATTACATCCACCTAAGGCACCGCTGCATACCCAACCAAGCACGGTATTCTGTAATACTGGTAAATTGTTGGTCATATGAATTTGACCTCTTGATATTAACGAATAGAAATGCTCGGCACCTATTAATAAATCGACATCACTGTTTACATTAAACTCGGAATCGGCGAGTTTGATGTTTTTGGGGATCGGCCACTGAGATATGTCGAACGATTTGTTTGGTAGAGGTGAGGTAATTTTTTCCATTACAACTGCTTTCAATTTTATGTTGAAATTAGTGGTACGTGACGAGATGTTGGCAGTGACCTGATGGTTTGCCCTTCTTTTACCTGTGCCAATTCCTGTGATCCATATTGGGTTTGGATTTAGCTGTAGTTGTAATTTTTTGGCCAGGTTTTCTGACATTAGGTTCATTTGAGAACCAGAATCCAGAATGGCTCTGCATTCAATTGCTTCGCCAGTATTTGAATTAATATTGACCTTGGCGGTCCCAAGCAACACATATGGTTTTGTTGACAGTGCTGTAGTTAAAACAGCAGCAGCTTCTTCTTGATTGGAGGAAGTGGTCTTCTTGGATACAGCCGCGTTGATGTTGGTGAATTCAGGTGCGCCAGTTGTTGGCGCCTTTACATTGTACTGAAGATGGAGTAATGTGTTGTGCGCTTTATTGCATTTGACGCAGTGCCTGCTTTTGCAATCACTTGTTCTATGTCCGCTGCGAAGACAATTGAAACACAATTTTAACCGTTGTGCTGCGGAGACACGATCAGGAACTGATAATGCCAAGAATTTGTCACACTGGTAAATTTGATGGCCATTGAGGTGACACATCTTGCAAGATAGCGTATTGTTTGTAGTTACTGTTGCTGTCACTACTTTGACTGCTGGTTGATTTGGATAGACACTTTCCAATGATTGAAATCGCTTTTCCAGAAATAGCAGAAAATCATCAATTGATTGTAATTCGCGCGGATGCACTAGAGACTGTTCATATAGCAGTCTAGTTTGTTTATCTAATTTTTGAGTTAATACATATAACAACATTGGACCCCAGGAACTGGTGTCAATGCCCAAATTGTTTAATGCCAATAACCCTTCCAGTGTACAGTCATGTATGACCCGAATGTCATTCGCTGCTGAACCCTTCACAGTTGCTTGATTCATGAGTTTCTGGATGATGGACGAAACAATAATTCTTTTATTGTCATACCGTTCCTTCAATATCTGCCATGCTGTTGCATAGTTTTGATTGGTTAGAGCTAGATGTGCTACTAATCCTGCTGCATCTCCAGTTAAATGATTTTTTAAATACCACATCTTCTGTGCGTCTGGCAACTGAGTGTTGTGGATCATTTCTGTGAACAAGTTGTCGAACTCCATCCACTTGGTATATGTTCCGTCAAACTTCGGAATTGTTATGTTAGGTAACCTAACTTGCACCCTTTCCGCAACGAGAGGCGGTTGCTGTTGATTTGATGTCACCTTTGATGTTAGTGACACCAGCACAATTTGAACTTCTTCTTCTAGTTCAATATATTTCTGGATATCATATCCAACTCCTATTGGATTGGAATGTATTTCCCAGATTTTAAAATTAACGGCTTCAATTTCTTGCCATAATTTGTTAATTCTGTCAATATTTACTTGGTAATATGACAGAGGCTGTTGCTCGTATATGCGCTTGACGCCATTGATGAGCCGCAATAATGAACATGATATTGCGCGTTGTTTGTTGATGAGCCCTTGAATCTGTGGATCAGGGCCGCATGCTGGATCATCTGTGTGTCCAACATTAAATCTTGATGTTGATGGAACAGTTACAGGCTCGACTATTTCTTCTTGGTTGAATTGTTGAATGGCCGTTTCAAATTGTCGGCTGTACTGTTTGTAAATATTCAGGATCTCTTGATAATATTCCTTTTTTATGTAGTCGTGTCCGACTGGAATTGAATCAAGACTCTGAATTTTACTGTCGACTTCATCGAAGGACTCCCACGCTGAGTTTAAACGCTTCAGTCGTTCTTCATAGTACGCCTGGGTTTTCCTTGCCTGACCATCCTTCTTGAAGTTTCTTATGATGTTCTGGATTTCAGCACCTGTTTCAGCCTGTTGGTTGATAAGGTCCTCCATGGTCACCAGAAAATTGATTGTTGAAATGTTGATACGTGTATGTCACTGAATGACAACAATGATGCGTGTATGTCCACAAATGACAATACTGCTGCGTGAATGACAATACTGATGCGTGATAGATCACGTGTATGTCCACAAATGACAATACTGATGCGTGATATCACGTGTATGTCCACTGAATGACAACAATGATGCGTGTATGTCCACAAATGACAATACTGCTGCGTGAGTGACAATACTGATGCGTGATAGATCACGTGTATGTCCACAAATGACAATACTGATGCGTGATATCACGTGTATGTCCACTGATGCGTGATAAATCACGTCGGGGTCACCAAAAATGTTATGATCCGTACCTAGTTTGATACGGACTGAAGCTAATCCGGCACTTGAACCAGCTTAGCTTTTCACGATATGTTATCCTCCGTATCTAGTCTGATACGGATTCACTAATCCGGCACTTTAACCAGCTTAGTAATTCACTTACGTAATCCGGCACATGAACCAGTTACGTAATTTATAGATATCTAGATATATATGTAAATATATATATAGATATTTATTTGTTTATTTTATTTTTATTATTGATTTTCAAATTCGGCACATAAACCGACTTTGCTCAAGGTTCTTTTAGGCACTTAAACCAAAAGAAAACACTTGGTTGTATTCAGGTTGTTAAATTGAATCAAATGTTTATTAAAAATGTTGTGCTTTTATACAAAATTCTTAACACTAAGCTTATGGTAAAGGAGGAAATGCACCCAGTTCCCACGATTTGTTATCCGATGGACTTTGAACATTCAAGGCCAAGGGCGTTCGTGGGAAATATGTGCATTACCTATGCTTATACTATTTAATGCAATCAGCAAGCTGATATATGTATTTTGCCATATATCAACCTGCTTCACAAATTTGGTGACTTAAATGTGTTATCACTGAAGCCATGCGCCAACTCATATTGCACCTGTGGGAACAACAGAATTGTCGCAGCGGCTTGCCTATTGCTGCAACTCACAACGAACACACGATAAAAGAAAATGAACATAATGCTTATCAACCTTGCACAGTGGCGTGTGAAGATGATCATGTTACGTCTGGCACGCTGCTAGCGTGCGAATATTTAGTTGTGAGAGCCAGCAACATTGCTAAAAATGTTTGATAACACAAATAAACACCAACAACAAAAACAACATAAGAACTAATTTAGGTACTTATGTACACATATAATTAATGCACTAATAAGAATACAATTATAATAATTGACAATAATAATACAATAATAAGAAAACAATTATAATAATTGATACAATGATAATAGATTTAATATGAAACTTAACAATATGCACTTTGGAGTGATTTCGAAATGATCACGTAAAAATTTGGATATGCATTAGATTGAAATGCGTTTTCATTTAATTATTTTAACATTTTCCACTTATAGTATACTTTTAAATATTTTTAATTATTTTGATTATTTTCCGCAAATCTGATTTTTTTCCGTTGGACACCAATTAATGAGTTATTCATTATATTCTGTGTTTCGGACTAATCCGAACCGTTTATTTTAAGTTT